TGAGTTTTTAAAAGTCTTGAAATTTTAATTATTACTATCATGCGAAGATTTGTTGTTGAAAATAACGAATGCTTAATTTTGGGCTCTCAATGTCAAAATAATTGAAGAATGTCATTATTTTCTATGAAACAGTCGATTAGTTTTTTAAATTCTTGAATTAAATATTTTTGAAATTTCAATTATCCCGGCGCCTTCACCATTACAAAAATTGAAGTCAACGAGATCGGTTCGAAGGTGAGCTTATTAAGAAAAAAAATCCTACTTTAAATTTCCTCAAGACAAAAATTATGTACAGATTTTCACTACATTTCCTCAAATAACAGAGAAAATTAGATGTTTCTGATAAAAATTAAAATTGGTGAAATTCATATTTCGCAAAAAAAGCTAAATGTAGCCCCGCCCACCCGCCCTATCTCCATTGGGATTATTTTTTTATTCGTCGTGGGCCAAGAAGGCGGAGCTTAACTGCAAAATCCTTATTTCTCGACGAGAAATTAAAAACATGTTTTTGAGTATCGTGTTGTTCAAAGAATACTATGAATATTAAGAAAAAAAGGCAAAATATTTGCTCTCAATCGTAGGGATTTTTTATTCTTAGAAACTTAAAATACGTTTCAAATGCTAAATTTTTGTAAGGGAATATACATTTTACAATTAAGCCCCGCCCCTCGATCTGACGACGAATGAAAAATTCATCACGATTGGGATCGAGACGGATTCTCTGTTGGTTTTGTTTTTTAATTAATACATTTTCTTTGTATAACACGATTACTTAAGAAAATATATCACATGCTAATTTCTCTTAGAAAAATAAGGATTTTACAATTATGTTACGCTTGGCTCACGGCGAATAAAAAAATCTTAATATATATATATCCATCTTTTCACAACAAGAACAAATGAAACAGGTCAACAAGATCGCTTCGAAAGTGAGCTTAGAAAGAAAAAAACCTACTTTAAATTTCCTCAAGACAAAAATCATCTACAGATTTTCACTTCATTTCCTCAAATAACAGAGAAAATTAATGTTTCTCAAAAAAATTAAAATTGGTGAAATTCATCCGAAAATTCGGCGTTGAAAGTTTTTGGCCTCGATGTCAAGATAAATGAAGGAGATAATTATTTTTTATGAAATATTCAATTACTTTAAAACGGTTTTTTTTTCAAATTTTAATTAACCCGGCGCCTCCACCATTTTTATATAAAAATTCGACATCAACATGAACGACTCGAAAATGTGTTACTCCTGGTCTAAACTTTCTCAAGATAAAAGTGTTGCATCGATTTTACTGTATTTCTTCAAAGAACAGAGAAAATTAGATGTTTATGAAAAAAATTTAACTTGGTGAAATTCATCCAAAAATTAAGCGTTCAAAGTAATGAACGCTTAATTTTTTTGGTCTCGATGTCAAGATAAATGAAGCAAGTAATTATTTTCTATGAAACATTAAATTACTTTTTAAAAACTGTTGAAATAAATTTTTTTAAAGTTTAATTATCCCGGCGCCTCCACCATTTTTATATAAAAAGTTGAGATCAACAAGAACGGCTCGAAAGTGTGTTATTCCGGGTCTAAACTTTCTCAAGATAACAGTGCTGCATCGATTTTCATTGTATTTCTTCAAATAACAGAGAAAATCAGATGTTTATGAAAAAAATAAATGTTGGTGAAATTGGGGTTTAACTAATTTATTTACAATGAAATATTCAATTACTTTTTAAAAATTCTTGAAATAATTTTTTTTAAATTCTAATTATTCCGGCGCCTCCACCATTTTAATCTTAAAATTTAGAGGTCGACAAGAACGATTCGACGATGTGTTATTCCAGGTCTAAATTTGCTCAAGATAACAATGTTGTATTTCCTCGAATAACAGAGAAAATTACATGTTTAAGAAAAAAAATAAAGTTCAGGAAATTCATCCGAAAATTCGTCGTTGAAATTAATCAGTGCTTACTTTTTTGGTCTCGTGCTCAAAATAAATGAAAAAGGTTGTTATTTCCGTGAAATATTTGACGATTTAAAAAAAAATTCTTTCTTCAAATATATATTTTTTTAAATTTTAATATTTCATCACCTGCACCATTTTTACTAAAAAAAAATAAGATAATGGCAATCACATGTTTATGAAAAAAAAAAAATGGTGAAATTCATTTGAAATTTTTTTTTAAAATTCATTCTGAGTTTTTAAAAGTCTTGAAATTTTAATTATTACTATCATGCGAAGATTTGTTGTTGAAAATAACGAATGCTTAATTTTGGGCTCTCAATGTCAAAATAATTGAAGAATGTCATTATTTTCTATGAAACAGTCGATTAGTTTTTAAAAATTCTTGAATTAAATATTTTTGAAATTTCAATTATCCCGGCGCCTTCACCATTACAAAAATTGAAGTCATCGAGATCGTTTCGAAGGTGAGCTTATTAAGAAAAAAAAATCCTACTTTAAATTTCCTCAAGACAAAAATTATGTACAGATTTTCACTACATTTCCTCAAATAACAGAGAAAATTAGATGTTTCTGATAAAAATTAAAATTGGTGAAATTCATATTTAGCAAAAAAAGCTAAATGTAACCCCGCCCACCCGCCCTATCTCCATTAGGATTATTTTTTTATTCGTCGTGGGCCAAGAAGGCGGAGCTTAACTGCAAAATCCTTATTTCTCTACGAGAAATTAAAAACATGTTTTTGAGTATCGTGTTGTTCAAAGAATACTATGAATATTAAGAAAAAAAGGCAAAATATTTGCTCTCAATCGTAGGGATTTTTTATTCTTAGAAACTTAAAATACGTTTCAAATGCTAAATTTTTGTAAGGGAATATAGACTTTACAATTAAGCCCCGCCCCTCGATTTGACGACTAATGAAAAATTCATCACGATTGGGATCGAGACGGATTCTCTGTTGGTTTAGTTTTTTAATTAATACATTTTCTTTGTATAACACTATTACTTAGGAACATATTTCACATGGTAATTTCTCTTAGAAAAATAAGGATTTTTACAATTATGTTCCGCTTGGCTCACGGCCAATAAAAAAATCTTAATATATATATCCATCTTTTCACAACAAGAACAATAATGAAACAGGTCAACAAGATCGCTTCGAAAGTGAGCTTAGAAAGAAAAAAACCTACTTTAAATTTCCTCAAGACAAAAATGATGTACAGATTTTCACTTCATTTCCTCAAAAAACAGAGAAAATTAATGTTTCTCAAAAAAATTAAAATTCGTGAAATTCATCCGAAAATTCGGCGTTGAAAATTTTTGGCCTCGATGTCAAGATAAATGAAGGAGATAATTATTTTTTATGAAATATTCGATTACTTTAAAATATTTTTGCAAATTTTAATTAACCCAGCGCCTCCACCATTTTTATATAAAAATTCGACATCAACATGAACGGCTCGAAAATGTGTTACTCCTAACTTTCTCAAGATAAAAGTGTTGCATCGATTTTACTGTATTTCTTCAAAGAACAGAGAAAATTAGATGTTTATGAAAAAAATTTAACTTGGTGAAATTCATCCAAAAATTTACCGTTCAAAGTAATGAACGCTTAATTTTTTTGGTCTCGATGTGAAGATAATTGAAGAACGTCATTATTTTCTATGAAACATTCGATTAATTTTTAAAAATTTTTGAAGTAGATATTTTTGAAATTTTAATTATCTCCGTGCCTCTACAATTAAAAAAAAAAAAAATGAGATCAACAAGATCCGTTTGAAAATGAGCTTAGAAAGAAGAAATTCCTAGTGTGTAGAGAAAATTTGATGTTTATGAAAAAGAAAATGTAGTTAGTGAAATTCATCCGAAAATTTGCCGTTGAAAGTAATGAATGGTTAATTTTTTGGTCTCGATGTCAAGATAAATGAAGCAGGTAATTATTTTCAATGAAATATTAAATTACTTTTTAAAAACTGATGAAATTACATTTTTTGAAATTTTAATTATCCCGGCCCCTCCACCATTTTTATATAAAAAGTTGAGATCAACAAGAACGGCTCGACAGTGTGTTATTCCTGGTCTAAATTTGCTCTAGATAACAATGCTGTATTTCCTCGAATAACAGAGAAAATTACATGTTTACGAAAAAAAATAAAGTTCAGGAAATTCATCCGAAAATTCGTCGTTGAAATTAATGAATGCTTACTTTCTTGGTCTCGTGCTCAAAATAAATGAAGAAGGTTGTTATTTCCGTGAAATATTTGACGATTTTTTAAAAAATTCTTGAAATAAATATATTTTTTAATTTTAATATTTCATCACCTCCACCATTTTTATTAAAAAAAAAATAAGATAATGGCAATCACATGTTTATGAAAAAAAAAAAAACAATAATTGGTGAAATTCATTTGAAATTTTTTTTTTTAATTCATTCTGAGTTTTTTAAAATTCATTCTGAGTTTTTAAAATTCTTGAAATTTTAATTATCTCGGCGCCTCCACCATTTTTATAAAAAACGATGTGAGATAAAAAAGATCGGTTCGACAGTTTGTTATTCCTACTCTAATTTTTTTTAAAATAAGAGTGTTGTATCGATTTTCACTGCACTTTCATATAAAAAATTCAGATCAACACGACGGTTCGAAAGTGTGTTATTCCTAGTTTAAATTTCCCCAAGAAAACACAACTGCATCGATTTGCAGTGCATTTCTTCAAATAAAGAAGAAAACTAGATGTTTATAAAAAAAAAAACGAGTCCTTGAAAATTCGCCACTGAAATTTATGAATTTTTTGGTTTGTCAAGGTAATTAAAAAAATGATAATTTTTTGAAAAACGTTCGTTTAGACATACTTTTTCTCGGAAATATTCTCGAGATCACGATGCTGTGTTTATTTTTTCCACCACCGATTTAGTTAAAAAACCCCTCATTATTACCACACACACCGTTACCGCTGAGCACCTTTCCCCTCCCCACCCGCCCCCTTTTCCCACACTAAATCAAACCTTCCCCGCCCCAACCCGTGTCCGCGCCGCCCCGCCCCCGAACCCACCTTATCCATCAACTGCCTGACAATGCCATTCCACTCGCCCGTTTCCAAATCTATTACTCCGTATTTGCTGTCCGGCACAAGCTCGATCCTATATTCAAAGCCTACCATCGACGCGATCTCCCGCAGCAGGTCGATGCAGAAGCCCTCGTAGCGCTCGTTGCCCACCAGGTGGTCCTGCGTCTTTAGCATAACGTACGGCTGCTCCTAGCGGGAAAAGGGGCTTTAATCTACCCGGATCTACGCAAACCGGCAGGACAGCCAAGCAGGGAAACGTGCAGGGAAAATCGGGAAGAGTATTTACGTGCTGCATCAGCTCCCGGACCATCCCGTTCCACTGGCCCGTGACGGGATCGCGTGCGCCGTACTTCCGGTCGGGGACGAGGTCCAGGAGGTAGTCGAAGCCCACCTCGCTGGAGATGCGCTCCAGGACGTCGACACAGAAGCCGTGGAAGCGGCGGTTGCCGGTGAGGTTCTTGGAGCGGCGCAGCATGACGAAGGGGTCGTCCTGGGGGCATGCACATGCAAGGGGGGAAGTTTATGTCTGCTAGGGTTTTTTTTTTTAAGTTGCCAGAGTAGGGTTATAGGCTGAAATATTGGTTACTTGTCAATTTTTTTTTTAATTTCGTGGAATAGAAAAATTAAAAAGGTGTAATATTTAGTCCCTTGGAATTTCAATTCCTAAGTCGTTTTTGATGTTTAATAAAATTCTGTTCACATTTTACCTTAGTTAATGTTATTTAAATTATAGGAAATAAGATAATCCTGCACTTGTGGTTTCAGAATCGTTTTTTCAGTTTTTCGACTTTTCGTTCTTTTGATTTCTCTCTTTTTCAAATTTTCGATTTCTCGATCTTCTTACATATTTTTCGATTGCTCGACTTTTCGACTTTCAAATTTTTCGACATTTTGATTTTTCTATTTAGCGATACTCGAGTTCCGGAATTTTTCAATTTTGTGATAGGTCAATTTTTTATTTTAATGTTCTTTTGATTTTTCTATTTTTCAATTGTTCGATGTTTTGATTTCTAGGTGGTTTTTCGACTTTTCGATTTTCTATTTTCTTGATGTTTCACTGTTTCGATTTACCAATTTTTTTACATTTCAAAAAAATGAAATTGAATTGTGAAAAAATTGAAAAATCGAAAAAATGAAAAATCCCAAAACAGAAATATAGAAAAATCGGAAAATCGAAAAAGCGAGGAGTTGAGACATCGAACAATTGGAAAATTCAAACGTCGAATCATTGAAAAACTGAGATTTCGAGAATTTAAGAAATCAGAAAATTGAAGAATCGAAAAATTGAAAAATCCCTAAACTCGAATATCGAAAAATTCATTAATTGATAAATCAGAAAATTAAATTGAAAAATTCAAAAATCGAAGAAAAATTGAAGAATCGAGAAATCGAAAAGTCGAAAAATCGAAAAAACCAAAACCTGAAATATCTAAAAATTGAAGAATTGAAAGTCTGAAAATCGAAAAATCGAGTAGTCGAGAAATAAGTTGAGAACTAATTGAATAATCGAAAAACTAAAATATTGAAAGACTGAAAAATCTAAAAATCTGAAATTTAAGAAATCAAAAAATTGAAGAATCGAAAAATTGAATAATCCTAAATCTTAAATATAAAAAAATTGAGCAGTCGATAATCAGAAGATTAAATCGAAAAATTAAAAAGTGAAGAATCAAAAAATCAAAAAACTCCAAAATTGAAACATCCATATCTCAATATGGAAAAATTAAAAATCGAGAATTCGAAAAGTCGAAAAATCTAAAAATCTAAAAATTAAAAAATCTGAAACCTGAAAAATTGAAGAACTGAAAATATGAAAATTGAAAAAATGAGTAGTCGAGAAATACAAACATCAAAAAATCAAAAATGGGAAAAACAAAATATAGAAAAATCGAAAGTCGAATAATCAAAAAATTCGAAAATTTAGAACCGCCAAAAATTAAACTACCGAAAAATCGCAAAAATTGAAGGAACGAAAAAATTGAAAAATCGAGAAATTGAAAAATGCCAAAATTCGAACTTAGTGATTAATTGATAAATCGAAAAATTGAAAAATGGAAGAAAAATTGAAAATCGAAAAACTGAGATCTCCCAAATTGAATAATCGAAAAACTGAGATATCGAAAGATAGAAAAATCTAAAAGTCTATAATTTAAGAAAACAAAAAACTGAAAAATCGAAAAATTGACAAAAATTTGAAAAATCGATCAATTCATAAATCAGAAAATTATATCGAAAAATTCAAAAATCGAAGAAGAATTGAAGAATCGACACACTGAAAAATCTCAAAATTGAAATATCGAAAAACTGAGATAACGAAAAATGGAAAAATCGAGAAATCGAAAAGTCGAAAAATCGAAAAAACCAAAACCTGAAATATCTAAAAACTGAAGAATTGAAAATCTGAAAATCGAAAAATCCAGTAGTCGAGAAATATATTGAGAACTAATTGAATCATCGAAAAACTGAGATTGAAAGACTGAAAAATCTAAAAATCTGAAATTTAAGAAATCAAAAAATTGAACAATCGAAAAATTGAATAATCCTAAATCTTAAATATAAAAAAATTGAACAGTCGATAATCAGTAGATTAAATCGAAAAATTCATAAAGTGAAGAATCCAAAAACCAAAAAATCCCAAGATTGAAACATCGTAAATATGGAAAAATTGAAAAATCGAGAATTCGAAAAGTCGAAAAATCTGAAAATCTAAAAATTAAAAAATCTAAAATCTGAAAAATTAAAGAACTGAAAATCTGAAAATTGAAAAAATGAGTAGTCGAGAAATATAAACATGAAAAAATCAAAAAAGGGAAAATCAAAATATAGAAAAATCGAAAGTCGAATAATCAAAAAATTCGAAAATTTAAAACCGCCAAAAATTAAACTATCGAAAAATAGCAAAAACTGAAGGAACGCAAAAATTGAAAAATCGAGAAATTGAAAAATGCCAAAATTCGAACATAGTGATTAATTGATAAATCGAAAAATTGAAAAATGGAAGAAAAATTGAAGAATCGAAAAACTGAAATCTCGCAAACTGAATAATCGAAAAACTGAGATATCGAAAGATTGAAAAATCTAAAAGTCTATAATTTAAGAAAACAAAAAACTGAAAAATCGAAAAATTGACAAAAATTTGAAAAATCGATCAATTCATAAATCAGAAAATTATATCGAAAAATTCAAAAATCGAAGAAGAATTGAAGAATCGACACACTGAAAAATCTCAAAATTGAAATATCGAAAAACTGAGATAACGAAAAATGGAAAAATCGAGAAATCGAAAAGTCGAAAAATCGAAAAAACCAAAACCTGAAATATCTAAAAACTGGAGAATTGAAAATCTGAAAATCGAAAAATCCAGTAGTCGAGAAATATATTGAGAACTAATTGAATCATCGAAAAACTGAGATTGAAAGATTGAAAAATCTAAAATTCTGAAATTTAAGAAATCAAAAAATTGAACAATCGAAAAATTGAATAATCCTAAATCTTAAATATAAAAAAATTGAACAGTCGATAATCAGTAGATTAAATCGAAAAATTCAAAAAGTGAAGAATCCAAAAACCAAAAAATCCCAAGATTGAAACATCGTAAATATGGAAAAATTGAAAAATCGAGAATTCGAAAAGTCGAAAAATCTGAAAATCTAAAAATTAAAAAATCTAAAATCTGAAAAATTGAAGAACTGAAAATCTGAAAATTGAAAAAATGAGTAGTCGAGAAATATAAACACGAAAAAATCAAAAAAGGGAAAATCAAAATATAGAAAAATCGAAAGTCGAATAATCAAAAAATTCGAAAATTTAGAACCGCCAAAAATTAAACTATCGAAAAATAGCAAAAACTGAAGGAACGCAAAAATTGATAAATCGAAAAATTGAAAAATGGAAGAAAAATTGAAGAATCGAAAAACTGAAATCTCGCAAACTGAATAATCGAAAAACTGAGATATCGAAAGATTGAAAAATCTAAAAGTCTATAATTTAAGAAAACAAAAAACTGAAGAACCGAAAAATTGAAAAATTCTAAAACTCAAAAATTTGAAAAATCGATCAATTTATAAATCAGAAAATTAAATCGAAAAATTCAAAAATCGAAGAAAAATTGAATCGACAGACTGAAAAATCTCAAAATTGAAATATCGAAAATCTGAAATAACGAAAAATGGAAAAATCGAGAAATCTAAAAGTCGAAAAATCGAGTAGTCGAGAAATATATTGAGAACTAATTGAATCATCGAAAAACTGATGTACTGAAAGACTGAAAAATCTAAAAATCTGAAATTTAAGAAATCAAAAAATTGAAGAATCGAAAAATTGAATAATCCTAAATCTTAAATCGAAAATCGAATAATCAAAAAATTCGAAAATTTAGAACCGCCAAAAATTAAACTATCGAAAAATAGGAAAAATTGAAAGAACGCAAAAATTGAAAAATCGAGAAATTGAAAAATGCCAAAATTCGAACATAGTGATTAAATGATAAATCGAAAAATTGAAAAATGGAAGAAAAATTGAAGAATCGAAAAACTGAAATCTCGCAAACTGAATAATCGAAAAACTGAGATATCGAAAGATTGAAAAATCTAAAAGTCTATAATTTAAGAAAACAAAAAACTGAAAAATCGAAAAATTGACAAAAATTTGAAAAATCGATCAATTCATAAATCAGAAAATTATATCGAAAAATTCAAAAATCGAAGAAGAATTGAAGAATCGACACACTGAAAAATCTCAAAATTGAAATATCGAAAAACTGAGATAACGAAAAATGGAAAAATCGAGAAATCGAAAAGTCGAAAAATCGAAAAAACCAAAACCTGAAATATCTAAAAACTGAAGAATTGAAAACCTGAAAATCGAAAAATCCAGTAGTCGAGAAATATATTGAGAACTAATTGAATAATCGAAAAACTGAGATTGAAAGACTGAAAAATCTAAAAATCTGAAATTTAAGAAATCAAAAAATTGAACAATCGAAAAATTGAATAATCCTAAATCTTAAATATAAAAAAATTGAGCAGTCGATAATCAGTAGATTAAATCGAAAAATTCAAAAAGTGAAGAATCCAAAAACCAAAAAATCCCAAGATTGAAACATCGTAAATATGGAAAAATTGAAAAATCGAGAATTCGAAAAGTCGAAAAATCTGAAAATCTAAAAATTAAAAAATCTAAAATCTGAAAAATTGAAGAACTGAAAATCTGAAAATTGAAAAAATGAGTAGTTGAGAAATATAAACATGAAAAAATCAAAAAAGGGAAAATCAAAATATAGAAAAATCGAAAGTCGAATAATCAAAAAATTCGAAAATTTAGAACCGCCAAAAATTAAACTATCGAAAATTCGCAAAAATTAAAGGAACGAAAAAATTGAAAAATCGAGAAATTGAAAAATGCCAAAATTCGAACATAGTGATTAATTGATAAATCGAAAAATTGAAAAATGGAAGAAAAATTGAAGAATCGAAAAACTGAAATCTCGCAAACTGAATAATCGAAAAACTGAGATATCGAAAGATAGAAAAATCTAAAAGTCTATAATTTAAGAAAACAAAAAACTGAAAAATCGAAAAATTGACAAAAATTTGAAAAATCGATCAATTCATAAATCAGAAAATTATATCGAAAAATTCAAAAATCGAAGAAGAATTGAAGAATCGACACACTGAAAAATCTCAAAATTGAAATATCGAAAAACTGAGATAACGAAAAATGGAAAAATCGAGAAATCGAAAAGTCGAAAAATCGAAAAAACCGAAACCTGAAATATTTAAAAACTGAAGAATTGAAAATCTGAAAATCGAAAAATCCAGTAGTCGAGAAATATATTGAGAACTAATTGAATCATCGACAAACTGAGATTGAAAGACTGAAAAATCTAAAAATCTGAAATTTAAGAAATCAAAAAATTGAACAATCGAAAAATTGAATAATCCTAAATCTTAAATATAAAAAAATTGAACAGTCGATAATCAGTAGATTAAATCGAAAAATTCAAAAAGTGAAGAATCCAAAAACCAAAAAATCCCAAGATTGAAACATCGTAAATATGGAAAAATTGAAAAATCGAGAATTCGAAAAGTCGAAAAATCTGAAAATCTAAAAATTAAAAAATCTAAAATCTGAAAAATTGAAGAACTGAAAATCTGAAAATTGAAAAAATGTGTAGTCGAGAAATATAAACATGAAAAAAATCAAAAAAGGGAAAATCAAAATATAGAAAAATCGAAAGTCGAATAATCAAAAAATTCGAAAATTTAGAACCGCCAAAAATTAAACTATCTAAAAATAGCAAAAATTGAAGGAACGCAAAAATTGAAAAATCGAGAAATTGAAAAATGCCAAAATTCGAACATAGTGATTAATTGATAAATCGAAAAATTGAAAAATGGAAGAAAAATTGAAGAATCGAAAAACTGAAATCTCGCAAACTGAATAATCGAAAAACTGAGATATCGAAAGATTGAAAAATCTAAAAGTCTATAATTTAAGAAAACAAAAAACTGAAAAATCGAAAAATTGACAAAAATTTGAAAAATCGATCAATTCATAAATCAGAAAATTATATCGAAAAATTCAAAAATCGAAGAAGAATTGAAGAATCGACACACTGAAAAATCTCAAAATTGAAATATCGAAAAACTGAGATAACGAAAAATGGAAAAATCGAGAAATCGAAAAGTCGAAAAATCGAAAAAACCAAAACCTGAATTATCTAAAAACTGAAGAATTGAAAATCTGAAAATCGAAAAATCCAGTAGTCGAGAAATATATTGAGAACTAATTGAATCATCGAAAAACTGAGATTGAAAGAATGAAAAATCTAAAAATCTGAAATTTAAGAAATCAAAAAATTGAACAATCGAAAAATTGAATAATCCTAAATGTTAAATATAAAAAAATTGAGCAGTCGATAATCAGTAGATTAAATCGAAAAATTCAAAAAGTGAAGAATCCAAAAACCAAAAAATCCCAAGATTGAAACATCGTAAATATGGAAAAATTGAAAAATCGAGAATTCGAAAAGTCGAAAAATCTGAAAATCTAAAAATTAAAAAATCTAAAATCTGAAAAATTGAAGAACTGAAAATCTGAAAATTGAAAAAATGAGTAGTCGAGAAATATAAACATGAAAAAATCAAAAAAGGGAAAATCAAAATATAGAAAAATCGAAAGTCGAATAATCAAAAAATTCGAAAATTTAGAACCGCCAAAAATTAAACTATCGAAAAATAGCAAAAACTGAAGGAACGCAAAAATTGATAAATCGAAAAATTGAAAAATGGAAGAAAAATTGAAGAATCGAAAAACTGAAATCTCGCAAACTGAATAATCGAAAAACTGAGATATCGAAAGATTGAAAAATCTAAAAGTCTATAATTTAAGAAAACAAAAAACTGAAAAATCGAAAAATTGACAAAAATTTGAAAAATCGATCAATTCATAAATCAGAAAATTATATCGAAAAATTCAAAAATCGAAGAAGAATTGAAGAATCGACACACTGAAAAATCTCAAAATTGAAATATCGAAAAACTGAGATAACGAAAAATGGAAAAATCGAGAAATCGAAAAGTCGAAAAATCGAGTAGTCGAGAAATATATTGAGAACTAATTGAATCATCGAAAAACTGAGGTACTGAAAGACTGAAAAATCTAAAAATCTGAAATTTAAGAAATCAAAAAATTGAAGAATCGAAAAATTGAATAATCCTAAATCTTAAATCGAAAATCGAATAATCAAAAAATTCGAAAATTTAGAACCGCCAAAAATTAAACTATCGAAAAATAGCAAAAATTGAAGGAACGCAAAAATTGAAAAATCGAGAAATTGAAAAATGCCAAAATTCGAACATAGTGATTAATTGATAAATCGAAAAAATGAAAAATGGAAGAAAAATTGAAGAATCGAAAAACTGAAATCTCCCAAACTGAATAATCGAAAAATTGAGATATCGAAAGGTTGAAAAATCTAAAAGTCTATAATTTAAGAAAACAAAAAACTGAAGAATCGAAAAATTGACAAAAATTTGAAAAATCGATCAGTTCATATATCAGAAAATCATATCGAAAAATTCAAAAATCGAAGAAAAATTGAAGAATCGAGAAATCGAAAAGTCGAAAAATCGAAAAAACCAAAACCTGAAATATCTAAAAACTGAAGAATTGAAACTGTGAAAATCGAAAAATCGAGTAGTCGAGAAAAATCTAAAAATCTGAAATTTAAGAAATCGAAAAATTGAAGAATACTAAAACTTAAGTATCAAAAAATTGATCAGTCGATCTATCAGGAGATTAAATCGAAAAATTCAAAAATTAAAGAATCGAAAAACGGAGAAATCCCAAAATGGAAACATCGAAAAACTGAAATAACGAAAAATTGAAAAATAAAAAAATTGAAAAGTCGAAAAACCAAAAAATCGAAAGTCGAATAATCAAAAAATCGACAATTCGAAAATTTAGAAACACCAAAAATGAAAATATTGAAAAATCAAAAAAAATATAAATTAAAAGATTGAAGAAACTCAAAATTGAAAAATCGAAAAGTTGAGAAATCAAAGCATCGACAAATGCAAGAGTCTTTGATTTTAGAAAATTTAAATAGCAGTCACTAATGTTAATTTTGGACATGGTGTCATCCTATTGTTAGTGCGGATGATTAGTCAAATTTTGGTTAGCGTTTTCCCATCGACACGAAAATCCTAATGCACGTATAAAATTCTGATAAAAATCCGAACAGTATTTTTTCGTACTCTAGGCGTGATGAAACGTCGAGGAGACATAAAATTAGCCAGTCGCCCGGTGGACTCTTATCAATACTTCTTTGGCTAAAAGTGTAACGGGATACTCATATTTTAATGCTTTAAAAATTAAAATTGTTCATTTGCATTTTAGATAAGTTAAAATAAATCAATGTCGCTCCTAAGTTCAAGCGTGTGCTTGAAAGCACCCCTTTGTGCTTTTGATTTGTCTTTGTTCGAAAGTACTTTGTTTTAAAATTTAGTTTACTAATTGAGATATGTACGATGGTCTCGCAAAGTTGTTTATTGAGTTTGGAAGCTATCGAATGAAATAGAATATCGCTCTAGCAACAACAACAACAACACCACAACCAAAGATAAAACGTTTATTTTCAATGTAATCGTGCACAACGTGACATATTTAACGTCTGCGAACACACAATCGATGTGAAATAATTGATATTTTTATTTTTTAAGTTGACAAAACAAACATGTTTCCAGTTTTCTTGTCGTGAAATGAAAGTCACAAAATTCATGACGATTTTTGAGTTGTCACTAATAGGCAAGAAACGAAGAGACGAATGATTTATTCATTTTTGAAAATAAGCTACATTATATTCTAATAGAACAATGTAGTACCAAACCAACAAGCAGCAGGAAAACAATCTTCACATTGGCAATTATTCCACTCACGCCGCCGTTTTTCCCTCGTGGCGGTATATGCGGTGGGGCGTCCTTCGGGATGGGCCCAATTTCCCCGCACAAGTGCGGGTACTTCGCGTTGCAACTGTGTCCGTCAGGGCACGCCGAGCACGACTTTCCCACTTTGTAGATCTCCCTCCATATCACCGGAGCACCATCCTCGACCGGCAGAGTCGAGGCATAGTCGCACATCACAGCCAAATTGTACTTCAACACGTCCTTAGGGTACCAACCCCTGGCGCAACCCACCCTGTTGGTCCTCGACCAAAGCATAGCCGCCAGATGCCCGAACTTCGTCCACTGAAACAGGCGAGTTACCTCAAGCCATCTCCGCCCTCACCACCCATTACTTGCGCTCCAGTCAGGGTGTAGTTGCTAACGGTGAAGCTGTCGTTCAGCTTATCGTACTCCGCGCTGTACCTGCAACAGGGGTGAGAATACGCAACGCAAAAACCCAACTTACCATTTGTTCATCATGTCTTTATTAGTCGGCAGGTCTATTTCTCTCTCCTCGTCCATGACGATGCTCTGGCCGTTGGTGCGGGCGTAGCTGGGGTGGGCGCAGTGGTCGTGGTACCCCGGGATGGTGCCCCACTTGCCGAGGTTGCAGCGGACGTAGTACTCCAACTCCATGTCGTAGCTCAAGGCCATCATATCCGACGCCTCTTTGAGCTGGGGGGTGTCCGCGAGGGCCTCGCCGGAGGCCACCCGGTTGCGGATTTCGTTGTGCAATGTCAGTGCCATCTCTCGGAAGGGGATGAGTTCGTCGAAGATCTCCTCGCGCTCAGGTAGGATGCTGCACTTGCAGGCGATGTGAACTTCCTCGTTAGGAAAGCCTTCGTGGCACTTGTAGTCGCAATAATCGCGTTTGCTGGGGTCGAATCCTTGATTGTCGATGGAGTTTACGAGGAGAGTTAGAAGGATAGCTGGCAGAGTTGGAAACATTTTCAGAAAATTCGAGGAGGGTGAGAGTTACGTTTTTATGTGGCAAATTTGACGTAATGAAACTTTGTACAGGGCCTCCTTTCTGGCAGTTACCTACACTTTTTGACAAGCAGAGTTGTTCACATCATTATGCTTTATCCGATTTTCGTTTTTGTCTTACGTGTTTTCTGTTTTACGAATTTCAACAAAAAAATCTGTTCTATTCGTGATGCCATGGCTTACAGTTTAGAACACAAAGTTTTCCTGGTTCAGATTTATTGTCGGAATGGGGTCAAAGTTGATGGTGAATGGACTTAATCGTTGCAGGCCCGCATGGAAGAATTTCGAATTCGACCGAACGATAAAACTTTTCGCAGAAACTGGTTGCCTTTTGCGAAAAGTAGGAAGTGGGGCGCCCAAAAATGAACACCTGAAGTTATTGCTCAAAATTTAAGCCCCGCCCGCCCACCCACCCTATCTCAATGGTGATGATTTTTTATTCGCCGTGCGCATGGAGGCAGGATTTGTTTAATTGCAAAATCCTAATTTCCCTGCGAATATTGACCATTTTGAACATGTTTGAAGTTTCTCGTTGTGAAAAGAAGACTACTAAGAAAAAAAGGGCAACATTTATCTATCGTGCTCAATTGTGATTTATTCGTTGCTGGAACAAGGGACGGAACGTAATTAAAGATACATAATATTTCTCTACAAAAATTTACTATTTACAACAGGTTTTAAGTTTCTTGTTGTGAAAAGAAGGCTACGTATGTTAAAAAAGAAGCAAAATATAAGCCCCGCCCACCCACCCTATTTTAATTGTAATATATTTTTTTATTTGTCGTGTGTGTGGACATTGTGAAAAACTTATTTTGGAATCCTGGAAAAAATATATGGGAATTTTTTCATATGGAGACATTCCTCCTTTCATTACTATTTCACTAGGTGAATCTGATTTAGAGTTAGAATGAGAGGACCAAGGGTGATGACTGAAATTTTTCTAGTGGAGTAATCGAAGTAGAATAAAATACTAACAAGGGTAACTTGCCAGAGGATGCTTTTTTTTAATTTCTGAAATTGTTTAACTGAAAGGAACAGGTATTACTATTTTTTAAATGACCATTTTATTTTAGGTTATTCCAAGGAAGGATCTCACTGCATATGTACTTGACGAATTTTTGAGTAAACCATATTTAAAATCGAAGAAAAATTGAAGAACTGAAAAACCGAAATACCCAAAAGTGAAAAATTTAAAATTGAAAAATGTAAAAAATTGAAAGTCGAATAATCAAAAAATCGAAAATTCCAATAACATTTAAGAGCGCCAAAAATTAAACATGAAAAATCAGAAAAATTAGAAATGAAAAATTGAAGAAACGAAAAATTGAAAAATCGAGAAACTAAAAAATCCCAAAATTCGAACAAACTGATAAATTGAAAAATTGAAAAGTCGAAAAATTGAAAAATGGAAAAATTATGAAATCCATGACAAAAATACAAGACAAAAAAATCTGTTTCATGTTCCATTCAAGAAAAAAACCATTTGTAAAAATTGTTTGTTTGTATCAGGTTTAGAAATGTATAATAGGTTACCTATGGAAATTACAGCTACTACAAATTTGCGGCTCTTTAAAAATAAGCTAAAATATTATTTAGTTAAGAAGTGTTTGTATACAGTGAATGAATTCTTAGTTTGATTTATGTCTTTGTAAATGTATTCTTTTTTGTTTTATTTTCTATACTGACGATTTCCATACAAATGTATTTGTCTCTCTGGAAATAAAATCATTATTATTATTATTATTATTTAGTCGAAAAACTGAAAATTCCCAAACTGAATCATCGAAAAATTGACATGTCGAAAGATTAAAAAAATCTAAAAGTCTATAAGTTAAGAAATCAAAAAATTGAAGAACCGAATAATTGAAAATCTAAAAAATCGAAAAATCGAGCAGTCGAGAAATGTGTATAAATATTGAGAAATCAAGAAATGGGAAAATCAAAATATTGAGCAATTGAAAGTCGAATAATAAAAAAATTGGAAATTCGCAAATTTCGAAGCCCCAGAAATTAAGATATTGAAAAAATTAAAAATTTAAAAATCGAGCAATTTAAGAAACGAAAAATTCGAACAAATTGACCAATTGATAAATACAAAAATCGAAGAAAAACTGAAACACTAAGATAACGAACGATTGAAAAGTCTATAATTTAAGAAATCGAAAAATGAAACAATCCCAAAACTTAAATATCAAACGATTAATCAGTCGATAAATCAGGAAATTAAATTGAAACATCAAAAAACTGAGATAAGGAAAATTGAAAAATCGAGAAATCGAAAAATATAAGCATCGAAAAATCAAGAAATGGTAATGGGAAAAATTGAAATATTGAAAAATCAAAAAATTTAAAAATCAAGAAATTGCAGAAACGAAAAATTGAAAAATCTGAACATCGAAAACCCGAAACATTGATAATTCGAAAAATTCCGAAAACTAACACGGATTCATTACCGACAAATGTAGTAGTATTTTATTCTATAAAATTTAAACAGCAATTACTAATATTAATTTTGGAGATGGCGTCATCCTATTGTTGGTGGGGACGATTAGCCAAATTTTGGTTAGCGTTTGACCATCTACACGATAATCCTAATACACGCATAAAACAGACAGACGGAAGCGGAAGACGTACCTATTTTTTCGTATTCCAGGCATAAAACGTCGAGAAGACATAAAAGTAGCCAGTCGCCCGGTGGATTCGATTAATACCCCTTTGGCTTACGTTCGGGGAGTAAGAGTGTCACGAGATTCTCATATTTTAATGCTTTAAAAATTAAAATTATTTATGTACATTTTAGATAATTTATAATAAAACAATGTCTCTCAAGTTTAAGTGTGTACGTGAAAACGCCCCTTTTTGCTTTTCATTTGTCTTTGTTCGAAAGTACTTTGTTTGAAAATTTAGTTTACTGTAGGTAAGAAACGAAGAGACGAATAAAATGGCATTTAAATATTTATTTATTTTTAAAATAAGCTACATTATATTCTTATAGAACAATGTAGTACCAAACCAACAAGCAGACTGTTAGTTTTCTGGTGCTGTGCAAGCTTTCATAAGGAATAGTTTTGTTTAACTCCCTTTTGATTGATTTTCTATCCGAGGGATGTTATTATTTCTTGTACTCGTTGATATCCATATTTTTTTGCTTCATTTTATCACTGATTTATTGATTCCTGAACAGCTGATTTGACACACACTTAAAGTTACCCGCGTATTTAATGGCACGGTAAAAAGTTTATATATGGCTCTCTACATCCTCATCTGAAACTCCATTTGTCGATTGGACAGGCCATAATCTATACTAGTCGGCCATGGTTTGACAAAATAAATTTTTTGAAAAGTGTCCAAATGACAGTAAAGCTTGAATCACATATGATTTGTCATAAATGATAGTATGATAGTGCCTAATATTTTTTTAATAAAACAGTATGTAAGTACAATGAAAATGACTAGTGATGCTAAAATAGCTTGATGCTGCGAATTTGCTCCAGTTGTATGTTTTAGCCCAGAATCGGTAGGTATTATTGGGAAACAAAATTATTTACCATTTTTCAGGTTTCAGTTAAACGTTTAGTGGAAAATCGCTACGAAAATCATGTTATATATTTATGAAGAAGTCTTTAGAAAGTTAGAATTGATATATGGAAATAATTATGCCGCACTTTTTTCTACTACAACTTGCCTTCAAACTATGGGAATGTTTTGCTTTTGGTAAATCTTTTATTCCTAAGAAATTTTGATTATTTGCTACAGCATAACTTCCCCTATACCTTAGGAGAACTAAATTGTCCATACATTTTTAAGAAATGACCTAAAGTGAACTGCACTTGGCATTTCTGGTCTGATAAGTAAGTAAGAAACGAAAAAAGGCAAAATATAAGCCCCGCCCACCCACCCTGTCACAAATCTGATGATATTTTTTATTAGTCGTGGGCCGGGGGGCGGAGCATAATTGCGAAACCTGTGTTTCTCAAAAAAATTTACCATTTAACTTTTCCATATATAATCTTTCATAAGCAAGCAATAGCCCCACCCACCCACCCCCTCTTCATTCCAGTGATTACTCTTAATATTGTTAAGTCAGTTGTACTATTGATTTCTTATAACATTTATTTCTTATTTCTGAAGAAAAAAATGCGAGAACGGGTGGGCGGGCGGGGCTAAGTTTAATTTTTTCATTCAGAATCTTTTATAAGCAAGCTTTAGCCCCACCCACCCACCCCTTCTTCATTCCACTGATTACTCTTAATATTGTTCAGTCAGTTGTACTAGTTATTTATTATAACAATTTAGTTTATAAATAAAGACAAATAAGTTCTATGTCTGCGTCGTTTCATTACATCAAAGAATTGATAGGAAGCTCAATAATTTAAGAATTTACTGTAAAATTAAGAAAAAACACTCTGCAGTCAATATTTTTGATTACTTTTCATACGTTTTATTTGCTTTTGTAAAATAATACTTTCTAGAAATATTTTCTGTGCTTTGTTTTCTAAATATGTTTTTACGTAAGGAGTGAAGCAGCTGTTTTTGAGACTCATGGATTTATTTGGTTTATTATGCTTGTCTGAACAATCGAATTCAACATTTTACCAAATTTTGCGTAAATTTGCACTAGCGAACAGCGTTATTTACAAAATAATTTTTTTTAAGAAAATAATTTACGCATGTTAAATAGTGAAGTTATTTTTTAAATAAAAAAACTGTAAAATCTGAGAATTAAAAAGAAGTTAAATGGTATTTCTGCAATATACTTTTTTCCAATGCTTTTAAGGCAGTAAATAAAAAACTTATTTCAGGTGCACACTTTTAGTTAAAAAAAAAAATAAGCACGACCCGCCAGTCCCGATACAATTGTGAATTTTTCATTCGTTATCAGACCGAGCGGAGGACCTTAATTGCAAAATTATTCTTCACAAAAATTGACTATTTTAAACATGTCTTCAGTTCCTTGTTTTTGCAAAAGAACACATTAATAATAATATGTTCAAAATAGTATTTTTTGTAGGAAAATATGGACTCACGATGGATAAAAAAATCATTACAATTGAGATAGGACGGGTGGGCGGGGCTTATTTTTATTAATATACGTACTCTTCTTTTCCCAACAAAACACTTAAAACATGTAACAAATATGGATTTTGCAATTACGCTCCGCCCCTTTGTGTGACAATGAATGAAAACTTCAACACTAGTTAGATCTGGGCAGGTATGGGTGGGGCTTAATCTTTGCCTTTAATTTTTACTTATATAGTTACATAGTAGTCTTTGCACAACACTATACCCAAATACATGTCTTACATGGTAATTTCTTCTAGAGATATAAGGATTATGCAATTAAGCTCCGCCTTCAGGCTCACGACGAATAAAAAAATCATCACAACTTAGATAGGGCGGGTGGGCGGGGCTTAAATTTTGCCCTTTTCTTCTTAATATACGTAATCTTCCTTTTACGACAAGAAACTTACAACATGTTTTGTGGGGAAATATCGAATTAGCAATTACGCTCCGCCCCTCGGTCTGACGTCAATCGAAAAATTCATCACAACTGAGATCGGGGCGGATTTCTTTTTTACTCAAAATATATAGTTTTCTTTAGAACACGATTAATATTTGTCTTTTTTTTTGGCACAAAGAACAAGAGATATTATAATAATAATAATAAAAAAGCATAAAGTCAATGAATTATTTAATTATTTTGGATTGTACTCCTGCCGTAAGCCATGCAGACTAACTTTCAATCATTACAAGGTCTGTGAACATTACATTGAAGAACATTTTATAATTTAAAAGGAAAAGGAAAAAGAAATTCGACGGAGAAAAATACAGAAACATATTTACTAAAAAGGAGATGAATCAATATGTGATTCGAAACAAAAGTTTAGAGTTGATTATTATTATTTCATAATACACAATGTCACACAACTTCTGCCAGAACGTTTTGAAAAACTTGCACTTCATCACAACGTTGGATTTCTACACATCACCGAAACTCCTTATTAGTAATGCTTTTTCTCGATTAAAACCAACAAGAAAATAAATCCGCCTCTTGGAAACCGTTCGGATATCGCATCCGCTAGCAAAATTCGCAGCCGATTCCGAAACTTGTAAAAAACAAACAGGATTAATCCCGTAAATAAATGATTCGCAACTTCCAGACTCGGGCACTGAAATTCCACGTTAACACGGAAAAGAACAAGATACACAAAAACGTAATTAAAGTGGATGCGTATCTCGCGAGGAGAGACCGAGAAAATGCATAATTGATACCCTGGCCGAGGTAAATTTACGTTTTTGTTGGCCACCTACATCGCATTTCGTCTTCATTGTGGTTTATATTACGCCATAAATGCGATTTTTTGCAGACGCTACTTTTATTACCTTATTATAGACGGCTGAGATTTTTTCAGAACTTTGCTTTTAGTGAGATTGGGGCCGGAACTCTTGCTTATGACGAAAATGGAACGTAATATAATATGTGGTTGTATGCATTAGAACGAAAGCTAGCTTGACTTGCCGTAATTAAATGGTTAAAAGTTTAAATCTGCGGAATTTTCGTTTAGTAAACATAAACGCGCGGGATTTGCTAATGGAAAGTAAATACGTGTTGCTCTTTGACTTTTTCGATACGGGTTGGCGCGAAAAATACATCTTTGCAGTGCGTCGTTGAGTTAGCGCAGTTTGATGTTGCTGACGCAGCGAAATTAGACACATTTTAAAATTAAAAATTTCGTTTTCAGCCTACAACCCCTAAATCAATTCCGGCAACCCTCAACCCTGCATGCACAAGCACAGCTATAACATTCACAAAGCAAGAGCGCACTGCATCCCCTACGTGTTGCGAATTCTCTTACCAGTATGGTTGTGACGACTAGCGTTACGTTCATAGTTCCGGGATCAAAGAACGCTGCCCGGTCGGTGATGTTGACCCCTGCCCCAGGGCGCCATTCCCCGACCTTGACCAGTGCGTGCTGTTTCAGTTTGAGTAAGTCGAGCTTGAACTGAATGCGACGGCCTTCCTTGAATTCTATAGGACCGCTGAGACCTTTGAATTCCACCTGGAACAATGCCATTGAATTAATTCTCCGGGGTAATTTTTCAACCGGCCAACAAAGCCCACGTTTGATTGTTATTAATTGCGAGGAAAAAGTTGCTCACTTCGATGAGAAAGACCAGGTGCTGGATCGCATGTTATCGTAGCTCTGTAATGTGTGTTAATATGGATAAGTTTGTGCTAAGTTGGCGAAACCACACCTGCCAAAATATCGTTGTTCGCTTTGGGTCCAGTTGCAAACTCCTTCCGGGCAGCCGGAATTTAAAAGCGTTCCCATGTAGCGGCCGTCGGGACGTTTCCGGAGACACTCCTCCGGAAAAAAGCGTCTATCGACGCTCGGAGCGATAAATCATTAATTAGATTTGTGCAAAAAGCGGCGTGACAAATGTTTTCGGTCATTGCTACTTGGCGATCATTCAGAACTTTAATGAAAATGAAGCCCGAGATGAGAGATGGCGAAAGTTGGATCGGATAGTGGCGTTAATCGATTTGCTCGAAAAACGTTTGTCGTTTAAATTGTAATTGCGGCGAAAAAGTCCCGCTTTTATGCGCCTTGTTTGTCTTGCGGCTTCTGGATTCGTAATAAACTTGGTTGAATCCATCAATATCTGGGCTTTATGTGTCATTATTTTCTATGCGATGCGGGTCGGGAGAGTGGGAGAATAAGGGCGCAGGGGTTTATAGTGGGGGGAGGGTCGGTGCGAGGGAGGTGGAGACGGGGCGCCATCGCTACCAGAGTTCATGAATAAAATAATAAATTCTAGTATTTGCATTACTGGAAAGTAGTTAGGGTGTTTTAATTTTAAATTTAGAAGTAGGGATTTTTCGGGTTTAATTAAAAATGTTATTTAATGTGTTTATTTAGCGAGTACTTGGATGGAGACGTAGTTGGGGTGATTTAGCCCGTGTTTTACGTTATCGAAGTGAGGGCGCTGGGGAGGTTTTAATTTGTTTCGGATTTTCTAATAAAATTAAACGGTGTTGTAAAAATTCGATTTAAAATAACAGATACGATAAGAATATATCACAATTATTGGTAATCAATACTAATTAATTAAGTTTGCATAGAGAAGTTTGTGTGTTAATATAAGTTTGATGAAATCTAGCCTGAAATTTTCCCTCCATATCCACCAAAGTTTAATTTAGGGTCTTAGGAAGGATATGTCAGTGAAGCTCGAACATATTATAAGGTGAACTACACACTTAAGTGTCTTCAAGTTAAATTACATTTACAAAAAAACGAGATTTAAAACACCTGTACTCTTGCCAAGTTTTTAAATGAAACAACAAAGTTGTTTTATGAAAAATAATTTTTAACTTTAAGTAACTGTTTATAGCGTTATATTATTGAGGGATACATGGAAGGGCATTATTTCTTTTAAAAATAAGGTTCCAAACTAAGTGTATGTAAAAGTAAAATTTCGCTATCCCGGCGCCTCCACCATTTTTCAAAAATAAACATAATTTAAATTGTTTAAGTGCATGCGACAATTGGTTTATCCTGACGGAAATGTTCTCAAAACTACCGTTCTATGTTTAGGCTCCTTTTCAAATAATCCAGATAAATCTACTTCTGTTGAAAAAATTTTGAATAACTAAACTGATACAGTGCTGCTAATTTATTTTACTTCAAGTAATTTTTACAATGTTATTTTGCTGAAATATATGAAAAATGCATCATTTTTTATGAAATTAAAATTTCAAACTGAGTAGTTGTAGCAGTTCTCCCATTAAAAATTGATAAATTTAGTTATCCCGGCTCCTCCACCATTTTTATACGAAAAATTTAAATTATTAAAATCGATCAGAAAATGTGTGTGTCCCATCGGAAATTTTCTCAAAACTACAGCTCCATGTTTATTTTAAGGGTTCCACTTCAAATAATCTAGAAAAATCAATTTCTGTAAAAGCAAAATTTGAACAACCAAACTGATAATTACTGGTAATATTTGTCTTAGTTCAAGTAATTAAAAATATATAGAAATCTATTATTTCTGATTTCACATGAAGTATTGGTAACGATTACAAATTTTTAAATTTAGTTATCCCGGCGCCTCCACCAATTACATTCCATAAAAGAAAAAAAATTAAATCGATTCGAAAATGTATTTACTCTGTCGGAAATTTTCTCAGCTCTATGTTTATTTTAAGGGCACCTTATTAAATAATCTGGAAAAATCATTTCTGTGGAAAAAAATTTGAACAACGAAACTGATACAGTCGCAGCTATTTTCTCTTAGTTCAAGTAATTGTTTATTGTTTTATTTTGCTCAGACATATAGAAATATATTATTTTTTACAAAAAAATAAGGTTTCAAACAGAGAAGCTCTCAGAATAAAATTGTTTAAAATTAATTATCCCGGCGCCTCCACCATTTTTCTACGAAAAATTAAAATTTTTGGAATAGATCCGAAAATATGTCTATTCTATTGGAAAATTTGTCAGAATCACAGTTTTATGTTTATTTTAAGGCCACATTTTCAAATTACTAGTGGTCTTGTAAAATAATAAAAAAAGTTGCTGTGTTTTTAATCAGGTCTTGCTGAACTTATTACTGAATAGTCTGGTAGAATCCATTTACGATTGTTTATTAAAAAAATGTTAGAGACAGGAATACGGAAAGTAGTATATCTCAATTATTGTGAATCAATAATAATTAACAACAATATTTTTTGGAGGGAAATGTGTGGAAATGTGTGGAGAGGTTTTTATAGTTTTACCAAAGTTTGGTGAAATAATTCCAGCTTTCCCGGCGCAGCCACTAAACTTTTCATTTTTTTCAGGAGAAGTAGAAAATAAAGAAAGCAACTCACCAAATGAGATTTATTTTTCTGTTTTTATGAGCTTCAAGCTTTGGTTTACTGAAAACAAATCCGAAACTCAGGATTTTGTTGTAATTTTTAAATAAATACTAATTTAGGTAACAAACTTCGATCTTATGGAATAATCAATTTTCAAAAGTAAACCCCAGAAAGAAACTTTAAAATTTAAAAAAAATCAGACATTCAGATTTTTTCATAAATCGTTTTAAGTTGGATTTTCAGGTATTTTGTAAAGTAAAATTAGAACTTGGAAGTTTCAGAATCTCTACTGGTTTTTTTTTTCTTAAAGTAAAGAAAATAATCCTTGTAAAAACAATGTGAAATTTGTTTTAAATTACGTGTTTGAAAATTTAAAATTGAATTGAGTAAAAAACTGTGTACATTGAGAAAATTTTAATTTTCTTTATAATTTCAATTTAATACGTCTTGTTCGAAATTTAGTTTAAACACTCCCCTCTATCATCTCTGCCCTGTACCAGACAATCGAATTCGCTTCGCTTGCCGCTTAAACATAAAGAAAAGATTGATAATCGCGCCATTTCCACTACCCGAGTGAAAAAAGTTGCTTAATCCCGAAAACTGCTAAGCCAAGTTGGCAAAAAATGTCACGCACTCCCCAAATCCCGCAGTTTATCTCGACGAACAAGCGGATAAATAGTACACGAAAACGTACATTTCGCTGCAAACTTCCTCTTAAATCCTTTAAATTGCCTAGCTGACAGCCGTTATTATGATAATTTGTATTTAGTTGCTCGAGCGCTGTTTATGCGTCGGACGTACACGCTCTTGACGAGCATACAAACGTCGTCGGGAAAGTTATGTGACAGTTAATTAACTCGGCGAAAAACGCGTCATACTTTTGCCGATTTTTTGTTCTTCGCTTAATTAAGCCGGAGCGAGCTACTTGGTGGCGTGTGTAGTGCGCCTAATATGTTAATAAATTAAGTGCTGTCGGAGCGAGCTCTCCTCAAGATGCGAGGGCTTCCTGCGAATTCGACTTGCAGACGTTAAACTCACAAAACCATTAGCCGGAGCGATCGAACTGGAAGTACAATGAATATCTGAAGTGTTTGCGAACTGGGAGACTATGGCATAAATTGTTCGCGACCGGAGTACAAATAAGTTTTGATGAAGTTATTGCTGTTAGTGGTGAATTAGTCGAGCTTATCGAACAGTTAATGACTTTGGAATTTATTAAGAATTTGCCGGAGCGGGCGGAATTTTCACACCTGAAACTAGACCGAATTATCGCAGACAGTACCTTGTAGCAATTTTATTACACGCTCGGTGGAGTTGCGGAGTTGAATTACGTGTGGTTGAGTGTGTATTAATGTACGAACTTGCCCTGTACTTAAGTAGTTTGTAACAACGTAGACCCTGTGTTAATGGGGTCTTATTACGACGGTGTTCTTCACAGGAAAATAATAGTTATAGTGTTTATTTTAGTTTGCCATAAACAATGGAATTACACGGACGTGGGCAGAGAAGGTTTGCTTGAATTTGAAAAGTGTTTTATTAAAAATAGGGAGGGTTTTTGATTCAAATTTTGTAACTTTTTGACGTAAAATAAAATTTATTTCACCGTTGAAATTTTCTTGACCCCTGGAATTAATTTCTGACCAGTTGAGCGCACCCCGTGAAAAATTGGTGCCCGAGACTAACTGGACTAACCATAAACCATATTCAAGAGAAGTTAAGGACGACGAAGCGTTCGCTTGAACAACGTCTCGGTTGTTCCTCTCCGGGTTTTTGCAGCTTTTGTGTCTAATTTTAATTCAACGAGCACTTTTGCGACCCCAAACTAGTAACTGTTCACAACTCAATTTGTTCCGAAAAACCACCTTTCAGGCCGAATTTATTCGCATGTTTATGCCGATTAAAATTCCCCTCGGAACTTTTGGGTCAACTCCAAGTCCCACTATTGATTAGACGTGTCATACCCAGAGAATGTATTCCGAATCAAGGACCCGAATTCAATAAAAGCCGAAACGTGTGCTAGAAAAAACATGTTTTTGGGTCGATTCTGCTTCATAAAACACCTAAGTATAATGCGATCTGTAAGAGCCCGGGCCAAGTTTTCATGATGTGAAGATTAATTGCCGGCAATAAAACTCGCAATATTCTTTTTTTCTGCGGCGTTTAGCATGGTCGAAGTGATTTTTGGGTCGGAGCGTTCTAATAACTTAATCCGTGAAAAAATGAACGCGTTAAATGTTATGTTAAGCGGCTGGGACGGGGATCGATTCGGGGGCGGCGGCAAAAAACTTGTCGACTTAATTAGTTCGACTTTGACGAAGTTTAAAGATCGGGGGTTGGCGATTCAGGGCACGGATTTGAGGCGACGCCGCTTTGTTGTTATTACTGGGTGGAACAGCGCCTCCTCGAACATCAATCACAGCTGCTGCGTCGCAAGTGTTACTCATGTCTTCGTCTATTGTTAAATTGACTTTAACTGCTTTCTTAACTGATTTACCTTCGTAAGCGGCTGTAACTCGCAGCGATATTCGCAGAAGGATCAAGTTACGCGCAGAGTTACCACATAACATTCAAATTTGTTGATTCATTAGACTCATTAGCATTTAGTTGCGAGTACTTGCCACAACGTGTATTCGGTTGCGAACTTGGCGCCTCGAAACAAACTTCTTAGGGGTGTCGCTGACGGAGGTAATTAGTTTCACGGATCTTATAGAAGGGGTCTCATAAAAACCAACAACAAATATTAAGGTCTGAGTGATATCGTTCTCGAATTTTTCAATAATTGCAAAATAATGGTGGATCTTTGATTATGAAACAACGAAATATCAGGTATCCCGAAATTGTGAATTTTTTTGATGCACTTGGGTGTTTTTGACCAGTTTTGCGATTTTATGTTCCATTGGGAGCCAAAATCTCTTGTAAATTTTTCTACCAGATTTAAATAATTTGTAAATTAATATAAAACATCTAGCTTAAAAATAATATAGTTGTTAACAAATGTAATTTTTTTGTTTCCCCTTTTTGTCGCCTTTTTTTATTATGTTTCATTGTTGTCTGGCTTTTCAAGAAACGATAATAAAAAAAGTGAAAAGCTATGAGAGAGGACGCAAAGCCTAGAAAAGAAATTGTCGTATAAATAAATCACGTAATGATACCTCTAAATACATTCAGATTTTTTTGGCTTATTCCGTCATCAGCTGTTTTGTTTTGTTTTTTAACGTTTCGTCTTTTTATCACATTTTTTACCTTTTTTTCTGGTTCATTATTGCTTTTTTGTCATATTTGTGTACCTTTAATTGCCACTTCTTTTGTGGTCTTTCTGAGTTGTCGTACTTTGTACCGTTGTTTTTGCCCTTTTGTGGAGTTTTCTGTAGTAATTTTTGTCTTCTTTTTACGAGTTATTTTTTTTCGTCTTTTGTTTATGCTTTTGATCGTTCCTATTTACCCCCGATTTTAGGTTTTTTTATGGTCCTATTTTTGTTGCATTTTTTGGTCTCCCTTTTTCATCGTCATTCTCTTGTTGCTTTTCTTTGTTGTGTTTATCTGTGGTCCTTTTTGCCGTTTCTTTTTTTTGCCTCTTTTTTGGAACCATTTTTTGGAGGCGTTTTTGTCGTCCTTTGTAGCCATTAGTTTATTGTCCTTTTACTGTCGGTTTTTTAATAGCATTTTTTGCTTATTCATTTATCGAATTTTTTTGGCCTCTCTTTTTTATCGTTCGTTTTTTTGAAATTTTTTTTCCTTTTGCATTTTTTTCTATTTTTTTTTAATGCGTTTATTTGGCCTTTTTTATATCGTCCTCCTTTTTGCTGCTTTTTTATGAGATTCTTTTGCCGATTTTATTAATCTTATTTTTATAGCTCATTTTTTGAGTTCCCCTTTTTATCGCCTATTTCTTTGATTATTTGTCCCATTTTATATGTCGTCTTTTTTCGTCGCGTATTTCTCGATTTCCTTTCTTTATTACATTTTTTTTAATTTTTTCCCATTTTTTTTTCAAATTTTTTTCTAACCATTTTTGTCCCCTCTTTTTTGCATTGGTATTTTTTCTTGTTTTTGGGGCATTTTTTGATCTCTTTTTATAATGCCATTTGTTTGTCACTTTTTTGTCGTCTTTCTTTGTTGCCTTTTCTTGTCTGCTTTTGTTGCCTTTTCATTCTTTGGATATTTTGTAACCATTTTTTGTACACGTTTTTTGCTCTCCTCTTTTCTCTATCGCCATTTTTGGCGTTTTTTGGTGCGTCTTTGGTCCTCTATGTTTGTCGCTTTTGTTGTGGCGCTTTTCTTCTTCTTTTTGACGCTTTTCGAGCTAAAAAATTGTTTTTGTTGCCGTCCTTTTATGCCACTTTTTTATTCGTGCTTATTAGGGTGGTTTTTTAGGCTCCTTCTTATCTCCCTTTTTTGCGGTTCCTTTTTTTATCGTGTTTTTTTCCAGTTTATTCTTGTAGTTTCTGTGGACCTTTAGTTAGTCTTTTTTTTAATGCCCTTTTTTGCCTAATTTTCTCTTGCCTTTTTTGCCGCCTTTTAAAGCCATTTGTTTGTCCCTTTTTTGTTTTTGGTCCCTTTCTATATGGGCATTTTTTTCTGTCCGTTTTTTCGTCGTTCTTTTTTTTGCAGCGTCTTGTACTTAAGATATGACTGATTTGGAAAATAACATACCTTCTAAGTAAATAGAGGGTGGGTGGGCGGGGCTAGTATTTTCTCAGATAAGACTGATCTTGGCAAATGACATAGTTTTTAAGAAAATAGAGGGCGGGTGGGCGGGGTTAGTACTTCGTAAGATATGTCTGATTTGGAAAATGAGCCTATACTTGAAATTAAATGTGTTGGAAGAAATTGTATTCTTTCTTTGAATTATATTTGATCAAAATAACAAGTCAGGCACAGATTGGAAACAAGATTATTTGATTAGACCAATTAGGTTAATTGCAAATATTTGCTTTTTCTCAGTTATTTCAAATAATGTGGTGAGAATTAGCACACATATTTGTTATCTTGAAAAAATTTCCGTCAATTTTTGATGAAAATGTTGGAGGCGCCAAGGTAATCATTAATTTAAATTGTGAATTTTTATTTCTTTAAGTTCTCGATTTTACAGTTTTCAGATTTCAGGTCTCTGTTTTAAATAATTAATTTTTCAATTTTACAATTTCTGGAATTTTTTATTTTTCAATTTTTTTATTTTTCGGTCTTTCAGATTTTTGATTTGCAATTTTTCGATATTTCAATTTTGCACTTCCTCAATTTTTCAATTTTTAGATATTTAAATTTTTCCTTATTTCAGGTAACCAATTTTTCATGTCTTCATCAATTTTTAGATATTTAAATTTTTCCTAATTTTAAGTAATCGATTTTTCAATTTTTCATGTCTTCATTTTTTCTACTTGTAGGTTTTTCTTTCAATTTTTAGCTCTTAAATTTTTCCAATTTCTCAATTTTTTAATCCTCCATTCAAAGATTCTTATTTTTAAATTTTAAACACAAAGAACAAGCTTATTAAAACCGAAATTTTCACGATTTTACATTTTTATATTTCAATTTTTCTTAACTAAGTAATTTTTAATTGCTTTCTCCGTGTTTTATATTGTGCTGACCAATCTTTTTTTAATAATAACACCCATTTTTTATTTTTTTTTTAATTCTTTAGTTGTCCAATTTTCCAATTTTTCGAATTTTCTATTTATCAACTTTTGAACTTTTCAATTTTATGAATACTTGGATTTTTAACTCTTTGGATTTAGAATTATTCAATCAGTTTTATCTTAGCAAATACTAGCCCTACAGCTCGCTTTCTATTTTCTTAAGGGGTATATAATTTGCCAAAATTAGTGCTACCTTACGAAGTACTAACCCCGCCCACCGCCCTCTATTTTCTTAAAGAGTATATCATTTGCCAAAATCAGTCTTATGTTAGCAAATACTAGCCCCCGCCATTTATTTTCTTGGAAGGTATGTTATTTTCCAAATCAGTCATATCTTAGAGAAAACTAGCCCCGCCCACCCACCCTCTATTTTCTTAGAGGATATATAATTTTGGGAAACGATTTAAAACCGATGTGGCTGTTTAAAGTGGATCAGTTTTATCGAAAATTCTCCCAGGATTACGAATCTGTGCTTTTCAGATTATATCTTTGAAGAAGTGAGAAAATCGCATTTTTGTTCTCCAAATTAAAGCGCCTTTAATTGGTTCAACAATAACAATATCCCTCTTCAAAATTTTCTCAAGTCTACGAATCCTATCCATTTTTTTGGATATTTTTTTCGGCTTTTCCTTTATCACCTTTCTTTTGTCGTCCATGTTTTCATCCTTTTTTATCGCCATTTGTTTGTCGCATTTTTGTCGTCTGTCTTTCTCCTCTTATTTTGTCGTTTCCTTTTTTTTCCCCATTTTTTTACTTTTTATGTCGTTTTCTTCTTCGAATTGTTTGTAGCTTTTGTTGTTGTGTTTTTGTAGTCATTTTTTTGGTCGGTTTTTTTGGCGTTTTTTGAATCTGGTTTTGTCAATGCCTTTTTTACTTTCCGAGCGTAAGCTAAGGAAGTATTGTAATCGAGTCCGTCGGGTGACTGGCTAATTTCATATTTTCTCGATAAATCATTCCCCTAGAGCACGAAAAAATAGTTTTCCCGTTTCCGTCTGTCTGTCTGTCTGTCGCGATCTATGCCGATTTTTGTTAAACAGATAATCTCGTAAACTACGGGACCGATTGTAAAACGAGCTAACCAACCTATGTCTAATCATCCCCACCAATAATATGATGATGTCACTCAAGATTGTACATAGTAAATAGTTTTTAAATTACATAAAATAACAGTTAATGAATCCGTGATGAGTTTGATTTCATCTTCTTGATATGGATTCAGAGTGAATATGTCAACAACAAATGTAATTCTAGATGTCGTTAATATCAATTCGCCCCAGACGCAGTGTGCGTAAATTCATTCAGGGAAATGTAAATCACCGCAAAGCAGGATGTCCAAACAGCGAGCACTTTGTTAGAAAAATTTCATGCGTAGCTGGCGTGAAATTTACGTGCGCTTCGCGCACGTGCTTGCTACTAACCATAACCTACCGAATTAATGTAGTTGATGAGGCTCAGTCCCCCATCCCAGGGCTGCTCCTTGTCACAGGAGACGTTCGACAGCCTCAGGGTGTGCGATTGCTCCAGGGTCTGCAGGCCGATGGCGAAGACGAAAACAGAGTCGTATATCAGGGCGGCTTCCGCCTGCAATAAAACATATTCAGTTATTTTTGCGCAAATTGCGTCCTTCTGATCTTCGGGCCGATGTTTCGAATAACCGAAAATAAATTCGGATAGAATCGTAAGTGCTGACATAAATTTAAATAAAAGGAGAACTAGAAATGGAGGGAAGTGGAGATGCGATTTTCGAACGATTTGATTTATGTAATGCGCAATTTGGGTTTCATTGTGTCGGATTAATGCGAGTCTGTGTAACAGAACGAAGCTGCACTTGGAACGAATTGCGAGGGGTTTTTGCGATTGCGGAAGGAGGGTGGTTATGAAAATTTGGATTAAGAGTTTAGAGATTCATTAAATTTTTTGGGGTAATTGAAGCGGGGGTGGGTTGGAAGGGAGGGTTGTGCTACAGGGAGCACCATAATATTATGCTCCATTAAGCTAAGGTAAATTTACTTTGGAACGAGAACCCTAATTTAATTGGTTGTATTTAAAATTAAAGTGCTTCACCTCCTTTGGCGTCCCCGAAATCAATCATTGTGATCTTGTTGAGGCTACTTTTTATTTATTCAAAATCGACTTGAGGCCGGGATTTACTAAGCCGCTTCGGAAGATGAGTTTCTGGAGTCAGGGCTATCCGCAAAATTTAATTTCGCGATTTCATGCCTATTGTGACCCACGAGTTGGGTTTTGGGGGATTTGGTCAAGTAGCAAATAGAGATCGCGAAAACGCATTTATGAATGAAAAGGTTCCGTTTATTTACGAAAATAAATAAAGTAAGCTGATAGGTTTTTCGTTTGATTAACTCTGGTTAAAACTCTTAACTCAAGTGTTCTATTGTTAGAAAAAATTTGAAGTTGTAATGGATTTTGAGATAGAGAATCATAAGTAGAGAGAATAGAGAGTGTGTTGAGTGTACTGGCGGACGGACGTGCAGTGAATTGTGTCCCTGGTTGATTACCAATAATTATATTATTGTTGTAAACAAAACTTCTCACACGTGAGTTATGGTATGGTTACAGTACTTATAATCTAGTTCTGTTTGCATCTGGCATTTTTTTACCAGTTGCCTAATCTAGCCGCTCGGTATTTCTTCTATACCGTAGCGGCTACTTATCTGTTGATAAGTTTTTGCAACTTTGCAAAATGCCGGCGTGCAGGATATGTGATATTAACATTAAGGGCTTCGAGAAGGCTCAAAAGTGCTTTGCCTGTGGTAATAAAGATCATGCAAAATGTTTGAAAATTGAAGAGAGTGACCTTAAAATCTTGTGCAAATACGGAAATTTTCGCTATCTGTGTAATGAATGTCTTATTTTGGAGGGAACCTCCAAAATTGATGTCTTAAAGGAATCTGTTGTAAAGTAATGGGAATTTCTCATCTTGAATTTGTTTATTTAATTTCCGATAATCAATGACTATTCTCCATTTCTTGATACAATTATCTGCGGATTTTTTAGGTACGATTAGCAAAGGGGCGGACCATTCTGACCTAGCTTCTTCGATAATTCCGTCTTTTAACATTTTACCGACCTGTTGATGTATTTCGTCTTTTTGTGCATGTGGTAACCGATACGGCTTAGTGTAAACTGGAGTCGCATTACTTTGTAACCTTATGCTTTGTTTATAAATATTAGTAACTGTCAGTTCATCACCTTCTAACAAAAATACATCGGAATATTTGGCACAAATTTTTTGAATAGAGATTTTTTCTTCATTATTTAAGTCGTCAGTTTTTAACAACTTCAATAATTTGTCAACTCGCGAAACCGATTGCATAGTTTCTTTTGCTTCACAAATGTGATAATTGGTTGCTTTCTCTAATTTCGGTCGAAAATTTTTCAGTTTAACATTACTGTCTCTAACGTTTAATATTTTCACAGGTATCAAGTTATCTCTAGCGCAGACTATACTTCCGGCTATGTAAACTCCTTCGCATATTTCATCAGGAAGGACCACATAGTCGTCATTATTCTCGACATAACAATATTTGATAATTTCGCATCTGCTTGGAATTTCTGTATAAAATTCGCATTGCGATTCAATTGGAATAAAAATTTTCCGGTCATTACTCCAAAAGGAAAATTCATTCTTTTCGTAATTGATAATTGCATCATGTTTTATGAAAAAGTCAGCACCGATTACACCATTCATTCCACATTCAAACTCCCTCATCAACAAAAATTCCTGTTGCATTTCAACATTATTAAAACTAAGCAATAATTGTACCGAACCTTGCGAAACTGTCGAACCAGCAATACCGTGTATTTTAATTTTCCGTGTTTGATCAATAACCTCATCTTGCGCAATTGAATTTTGAAAAATTACACTAACTGTTGCACCTGTATCTAGCAAAAATTTTAATTCTTTCCCGCGATAATTTACTCGCACAAAGTTCACTGCATTCATACTTAACACTATGGTATCATTAGCTTCACTGTCAACAATTTTAGACTCGAAAAAACTGACTTTCCGAATTTTCTCTTTCAACTTCTCGTTCAGCTGATGCATTCATACGAAACGCTGATTGATTCCGCCTACTATTATCTCTAGTGTACCTTCTATCATGACCTCTGAAGTTATTTGCTGATCCTCTAAAATTACTTGTTGAACCTCTGAAATTTCTTGTTGTACCTCTAAAATTATTGGCTTTACCTCTGAAATTATTTGTTGTACCTCTGAAGGTATGATTACCGCGATTGTAATTCCAATTATAATTTTGTTTATGTAAACGGTGTATTTGACATGATGTTTCCGATTTTGGTGTTTCTTCATCCGTCGCGCCTCTTATCGCGTCACTTAATTTTTCATAGTTCCTAGCTTTTATTACTGTTCTTAACTCAAAATTTCCTAATCCGTTTGCGAAAGCGTTTATAGCAATTTTTTCATTGGATTGTCTTAAAATTTCTAATGCCTGTCGGTTGCCATCGGCCTGAGTTATCGTCAGGTCCACCAATAGTTCCTCGATCGATCTTCCAAATTCCTCCACAGATTTGGAGTACTGTTTTGCTCTACTCAACTGAACAGATAATGACGCTGGAGACTTTTTTGTTAGTAAATAATTTCTTATATCTGCGATTAAAAGACAATTTGTCGCGTAGCTGGATTTCAACCGAATTTTCGCACTTTCCGATAAACGCGTCTTTAGAATGTAAGTAGTTAAAAGTTTTTTCCCGTTATCGTCCAGCATACTATCATACATCTCAATGCCGTCGATTAATTGCTTTGTAACTCTCTCCGAACCGTCCATAACAGGCAGCAAACTAGCCGCTGTTTTTAAATCGAATTTTTCTGTCATTTTAAAATTTACGCCCGCAGAATTAACACTATCGGAGCTATCAGAACTCTCAGCCGAGTCAGAAGCTGCTTCAGTTTGCCCTAATCGTGCTACCCTACTACTTAAAATTAATTCACCTTCTTCTAACCTTACTTCTATATCTGAGACAATGCGTTTTGCCTTATTTAACACATCTAAAACATGCACTTGACTGTTAAAATTATTCTTAGCAACGATAAATTTCTGCCGCAATTCTTGGAGTTTCTCACTTTTACATTGAAGTACCTGCACATCCCGACGTCTTGTGATATTGTCCTTCTTCAAGTTTCTTCTGAATAAGCTTACTTCTATCTGTAGACTTTTGAGTTCGTCTAAACTGGTCATTTACACTACTACACTTAGGAGAAAAACTATTTACAGGCCTTTTTTTTTTCTCACTCCCGCACTTCACAATCACACACTGGTGGAGTCCATTGGAACGGGATTCCGACGCAGACATCTTCTTCTCCGATGGTATCGCTGTTTCTCCTTCTCCTATACGACCTCTTGACTTTGGCTCTCACAACGTCTTAGATGATCTTCTATTCTAGCCATTTTAACAATAGCAGTAGTACTGCCGTATTAACACACTTTTTTTTTTCTCTTTCTTCCGATTGGCAGGGTCGCCATGTGATGTCCTCTCTAATAGTCCCGACGGTGGTAGGTTAATAACACCAATACATATTTATTATCAATTTATTTACCCATATTACCACTACAAACCCAGACTTAACACTCTCCTGTTTTAGCTATCACTTACACTTTTATACACTATTGATGACCTAGTTCCTTGCAATGGACAAGCATTTGCTGACTAACGAATTGACACTTACTCATTCCATTACAGTCTAAATCATATCGAAAATAAAATTGAACATAATAATCAAATTCTAAATCAAGTTAAGGAAACTCTACCTTCTGAAAGTTCAACAAAAAATGATTCTTATTCAAACGTTGTTAGCAAATCTAAATCTACTGTTATTTTGCAACCAGGAGATACTAAACAGTCGATTTCTACTACAAAAAAAGATTTATTGAGTCAAGTTGATCCGGTTAAATTGAACCTTGATGTGGCCTGTGTTAAACCTGGTCGTAATGGAAGCATCATCATAAGTTGTAATGATACTGCCGACTCTAATAAAATTAAGAATTTAGTTGGTGAAAAATTAACGGACTACAACGTGAAAAATTTGCCAAGTTTAAAGCCGCGGATTAGGATTTCCGGAATAGACAAAGGCATTCCAGATGAAGAAGTGGTAGACTACATTGTGGGTGAGAATAGGTCTTTATTTAGTACTGAATATATCTGCGTATTAAAAAAATATCTTCCTTTGCGGAATAATAATAAGCGCATGCAAGCAATCGTTGAAGTAGATCTAGGCTCCTACAGTAATATAACCAATGCTGGGAAATTACTTGTCGGGTATGACTACTGTAAAGTTTGGGACGCGATTGAAGTTCGTCGATGCTTCAAATGCTCTGGTTTTAATCATATGTCAGGTCAATGTACAGCAAAATCTCCTATTTGTCCAAGGTGTGCCGGGGCTCATGTGCTAAAAGACTGTCAGTCTGAATCTCTAAAATGTACTCACTGTAGTTCTCACAAAGACAAAAATCCGGATATTTCCGATAACCATGCGGCCTGGGATATTGACAACTGCTCAGTGTACCAAAATCAACTTCAAAAGCTTAAGGCTTTAATACTGGATA